GGGTATGCTCTTCACGCAGCTTCAGCTCACAGCATGTTAGGTGTTCTCCCCAAACCCACCCACCCTTCCCTGGAAATGGACACTGCTGGTGTATTTATAGTCCCTGAGCACAGGCAAGCTGTTTTTCTTAAATACGAGTAAGGAGCCGGTCATATTCACCAGAGTTGTGCTGAGCTACGCTGTCGTATATTCTGAACTGCTGTACTTCGCTCATCAGGTAGGGGAAAGGACAATTTGAACATGCTTATATTTGTTTGAGTTGGGGCTCTGGTGCGGCATAGTTTCTAAAATGATCAGTACTTATCAGGGAAATTAGAAAATGAAATACATTTGGCCTGCGTTTGGTTCTAGCCCTGATTTTGTAAAAATTTAATTTTATACAAATTTAATTTTTGTTTGTTAGTCCCTTGTCAGGCCTTTTTACAATTCTTTGAATGTGTTACATGGTATTAGAGCTGCCACAGTTTGTCACTTTCCTACCACTGTTTAAACCAAACTAAAAAACCGTCTTAGTTCCAGATTCTCAGTTGTGATGTTTTGTCTGAATTGATTAACTGAGTATGTTTCGATTTTCAACTGTTGTTCAGTCAACACAAGCAGTTTGAAGATGTGACCTTGGATATTTTTTGCTGTGTTTTGACATTTTATAAACCAAACAATTTTTTTCAGTTATTTGAGAAAATAATCTGCAGAAGACAAGTCAGTAATGAAAGTAATTGTCTGTTGCAGCCCTACATGGTATGTACCATGTTGGGGTGGAGTTTGATGCATGTTTCTGGTGTTTTAAAACAGCATTCTGAGCGCAACCAGCAGATACTGAGACACCCAGAGAGAGAGGAGAGATGGAAAAGCCAGTGTTGCAGACACAACCATCCACTTTGCCTTTTTTTGACACAGCTCATGCCTTCAATCTGCTGAGGGGAATCCATGAGCTTCGTGCTGAAAGGAAGTTTTTTGATGTGACTCTATGTGCCGAGGGCCATGAGTTTCACTGCCACCGCACGGTGTTGGCCGCTGCCAGCACCTACTTCCGGGCTATGTTCACTGGAATGCTAAGGGAGAGCGTTATGGACCGGGTAGTTCTCCACGAGGTGTCAGCTGAGCTTTTAGGCCTCCTGGTGGACTTCTGCTACACAGGACGGGTCACTGTTACTCAGGATAATGTGGACCTCCTGTTGAAGACGGCTGATCTGTTTCAGTTTCCCTCGGTCAAAGAGGCCTGCTGCGCTTTTCTGGAGCAGCGGCTGGATGTTTCCAACTGCTTGGAGATCCAGGACTTTGCAGAGGCTTATGCTTGCAGAGAGCTGGCGACCAGTGCTCGCCGCTTTGTCCTCAGAAATATAATGGAGCTGGCTAAAGGGACAGACTTTGAGCGATTACCTTGGAAGCGCCTGCTTGAGTTTGTGTCAGATGACGAGCTTTGTGTGGACAAGGAGGAGACAGTTTATCATATCGCAGTGCGCTGGGTAAAGGCTGATCTCCAGCGGAGGCTGCACTACTGGCCCGAGCTTCTCCAGCAGGTCCGACTCCCCTTCGTCAGGAGGTTCTTTCTCTTGGCCCATGTAGAGAGTGACCCACTCGTTTACCTTTCACCCACCTGCCTCCGCATGGTGAACGAAGCCCGTAGCTTCCAGTCCTGTGAGTATGACCGCCATGACAGGCCCTGCCACCGCATGCGGCCACGGCCATCCACGGGGTTGGCAGAAATCCTAGTGGTGGTAGGAGGCTGTGACCAGGACTGTGATGAGCTGGTCACAGTGGACTGTTACAACCCCCAGACTAGACAGTGGCGCTACCTGGCCGAATTCCCTGATCACCTCGGAGGAGGCTACAGCATAGCTGCTCTCGGAAACGATATGTATGTCACAGGTAAGTCACTAAATGACACCCAGACACCTTTTTGTTTTTAAATAGTTAGTATCACAGGCAGTGACTGGCATCCAGAGGCACCACAGGGGTGAAAACATGATTAATCATTATTGTTTATGGAAATCTGCACCAAGGAAAACAATACAGGTATCATCAGGTTCTATTTAGAACATTTAGATGCTGTGTCTAAATACAATTACAACATTGAACTTAATTTATTTTGCTCAGATTGATGGAAAAGCCAGCAACAGTGTGCAGAGGTTCCTGTTGCTGTGTGGATAAGATTCAAGTTAGTGTGAAACGTCTGGTCAGTAGATTTCCATTCCTCCTTCAGAGTATGCAATGGATGTTGGGCAGTGCTTATAAATAAACAGCAGGCTTTTTGGCTAGTGGCTCAGTGTGTGAACAAGGCAGAGGGAGGGAGGACATGGTGTTCTGCCAGTGCAGCAGTGGTGTTGTCATCATCACTGTTGTCGTTGCCAGTGATCTGTCTGATCCTGAAAACAAGGCGTGTCTCCCTTGAGAAAATGATGCTAAACCTTCACTCAGAGATTGTAGGACATAGTGGTGGGCTGTAAATTTAGCAGCGTTATCTCACGGCCTCGATGACAGAAATAACAGCAGCATATGATTGCACCATGTTGATAGGCAGATTTTGTTTTTATAGCCAACATTTGGGATGTTATTTGCATATTTGATTTAAGTGATACATAAAATTTGAATAAAAAATGTCGTTGGAAGATTCCAAAGGCACATTGGGCAGCAAAGTAACAGTGTAACAGCCAGCATATGACTTTGACCAGCCAATAATAAACAGAGGAAGGATTACAAATACCTGCATCAGACAGTACTCAGGTTATGAGGGACAGGGAATGACTAGAGTCTCCACAGGTCTATAAAACGCACCCAGTCTTCAAATTGGAATTTGGATTCTGCAAATTTAGGCCCATATTTTGGGCTTATTAAATGTAGTTCTTAAATTTTGAGATGATGCATAGACCCATGTGAAATCACATGACCCACAATTATTTGAATCTACATAATAAAATACAGTATGTATCTGTTCTTCTGCCTCAACCAAGATTGTTTTCCTCTGTCATGATCTGCTTGATGTTTTGTCATGAGTAGCCCACACTCTTCTGACCAGTTCAAGAGCAAAGAGACTAAAAGTTCTCTGCGTGTGTGACATGCAGTCAGGTTGTTTGGATTCATTTGTTTGTGTCGGAACCTGTGCACTAATCTAAACTAGGTGTATGCTTTAAGTTGGGTCAGGTGACTCTCAATCCAGTGAAAGTAGTGATATGATTGCAGAAATCACGCTTTAAAGCACCTACAGACTGAGAATAGACTTAATTTTGACATGCTTTTTACTTTGTACATGACGGTGAGGAAGAGTTTGTGTTGCATATTATCTATTGTTTTACAAGTTTCTCCCTGCTCTAAAAAGGGTGTTAAATTGACTGTCAGCTATTTAAATATTCTTGTAATCCATTAGCATTAATTTCAAAAAGTGCTCCGATACCCTGATGAAGGCAGACAGCACTGTTGATACCTTATTACCTGAAGTACTGTAATAGATCTGTACTGCCACCCACAACTACTGTCTTGCTCTTTAATGTGTTCCTTTCTACATGATACTAAGCAGCCAAAAAAAGAAAAAACTCCTTTATGCACATTAATCATTGAAAGAAATGTTTTTTTAAGTTTCTCTTGCCTACATAAAGCACTTTGAGTTGCCTCTGTGTATACAACTAAAGCTGCCCTGCCTTGCTTTGCCTTGTGTCTGTCAGGTGGCTCAGATGGCTCTCGCCTCTATGACGGCGTGTGGCGCTACAACTCCAGCGTCAATGAGTGGACAGAGGTGTCGCCCATGCTGAAGGCCCGTGAGTACCACAGCTCTTGTGTGCTGAAAGACCAGCTGTATGTTGTGGCATCGGACAGCACAGAGCGCTACGATCACGCTCTGGACTGCTGGGAGGCCTTACCAGCCATGCTGCATCCCATGGACAACTGCTCTACCACCACATGCAATGGACGCCTGTATGCTATAGGCTGCCTGACCGGAGAAGACACCATGGCCATCCAGAGCTATGACGCAGACACCAACCTCTGGTCCATGGTTAACTGTGGACAGCTGCCCCCATGGTCCTTCACGCCGAAAACTGTGACCCTCGACGGCCTCATCTACTTTGTCAGGTGTGAGGAGAAAACCGATTCTGTTACACACATGCTGTAGCTAAACTACTGTAAATCTGGTAACACTTTATTTTAACTGCCCTGTATTTTCCAACTATTTTCCTCATTATTATCTAAAAACTTGCATTTTAATATTTTTAAAACATTTGGAGAAAGTGTCCAGTCTGAGCCGACGGTCATACTTCAAATGTCTGAGTTGCTCTTTTCTGTTCCACCGAAAAGAGATTTATCATTTAAACTTGTCAAATATTTAGATGTAAATAGACTGAGGCCTAGAGATCACACTTTGATTTATTCATCACAACTTTTCCCATTAATCATCTTAAGCCTTCAGATTTATTTTGTGATTCTTTGCCAATGAATTAAACTACATCAAAATGTACAGTAGTAAAAATTTGCGTCACATTGAGCAGATAAGAGTGAAATGCTGCTTACATATTGGCACATTGTCCATTTGTTGATAGATTATTCTTGATTAAACAAAATTACAGCTTTCCACATGAATTTGTTACAACAGTGTTGTTGAGGTTGGTCATAAATATCCATACCTGACTATTTAGAATGTGATTATTTTGAAAGGTCAGAAACATTTTGTTGATGACACATGGCTGCTTCAGTAGTCAGGCACGTTAGCATGAATACAGAACACTGGAAGCTATGATTGTTTTGCCAGTGGCCTGACCTTTATTTCTATTTGTAGGGATGACTCAGCTGAGGTGGATGTTTACAACCCTCATAAGAGCGAATGGGACAAAATTAGTCCGATGACCCAGGTTTGTATTTCACACCAGACATTTCTCCTAGTATGATTTATTAGCCATTTGTTTGGATTTGTACCAGGTCTGACACAGCACCACAAACACAATGATAATAAATGCATTTAAAAATAAGTACACAATGTGCGGTTTTTAATACTTTAATGCAGTTTGTCAATAGTTATACAAGTAAAAGTGATGGATGAATGAGTTCACTATGGTTATTTTGTAACTTTATCAACACAGCTAGATGTTTGCAAGCAAAACACACATGAATCAAAAATATTGCTAAATTAGCACCACTGTGAGATAAATGACTAAAAGTGAGTGTGAAAACACTCCTTTATCCTCCAGTCACATTGGTTTTCTTCTTTACCACCTGATGATAAAATCAGTTCAAACTTTTTCAGTTTACTATCACCGTTTATTAGCTTGTTTCATTTTCAGCTCCTTAGTTTTTCTATGTTCAGTATTTGATCATCTGTTCCATATTTTTCCTAATCACCGTTGCTGATTTTCTTAAAGCCTGAATGATAATGTGGGCATGCCCATGCGTGTCCATGGCAACCATTGGTCCAGGGCGTGTGTGGTTAAAAGAAATGTATAAATATATGAAGACTGATTAATCTTCACACTCCATTTTAATTAACTAATGGTATTCAGTGATTTTTTTTTTCTGCCTATTGTGAGTTGCATGTGTGGCACCAAACATAAAATTCAATTTCTTTTATCCAGGTCCACGTTGGAGGCAGTGTGGCAGCCCTGGGTGGTAAATTATACGTGTCTGGTGGGTATGACAATACGTTTGAACTGTCAGATGTGGTGGAAGCCTACGACCCCACCACCCGCACGTGGACCCTTGCTGGATGTCTGCCTCAGCCGACCTTCTGGCACGGCAGTGTTAGCATATTCCGTCAGTTCATGCCTCTAGTGTCCAGCGCTTTTGAACCCACTGACATAGCTGAGTCGAATGGCATTTACCTGCGCCGACACCAGCGTCACCAGGCGCTCCACAATCTCAACAACAATCTCAATCAGAACCAGGATGTGAACCCAGCGCACTGAGTTTGGACCTAGAAATCCCAGCCACTCATGTTGAGTCCGTTCCCACTCCTTGTGCCATCAGTAGTTTACTGTGAATTTACCTCATCACAAGGCTGTTGAATGCAGAAGACTGAGCATGTATACAGTAGTCTGGGCTCCTTGTAATCCACTTCACTGCCAAGCTGTCACATTGGTAACCACTCAAGTCTGTTGACTGGAAGGCTGCATGATTCTTAGCCCTGTTTGGTGGGAGATGGGCCTGGGTGGTTCCCACAGAAAAGCTCAGGGAGGCTGCTGCTCTTTACTGGAAGTAGGGAAGGAAAGCATATTTGTCAAATGTCAAGTACCGTAAAATCCGGACTATAAGCCGCTACTTTTTTCACAAGCTTTGAACACTGCGGCTTAAACAACGATGCGGCTAATTTATGGATTTTTACAGGCTAACGAGCTTCATGCCGCCAATACATTTAGCCTCGTCACATCAAACCAAAGAAATTACCGAACAGGTCACAGTGGACCAATGAAACTGTTCGAATTAAATCAAATGAATTCACACTGAATTCTTCAGATCAGTCATTTTGCGCTTCATGCACACACCCTCATCATGGAAAACACACGAAGAAATGCATATGATGCAGCTTTCAAGTTAAAGGCGATCGATCTGGCTGTCGAAGAAGGAAATAGAGCTGCTGCATGTAAGCTTGGCATCAATGGATGTTGGACGTTGGAGAAGGCAGCGTGAAGGACTGACTCAATCCAAAAAGACGACAAAAGCTGTGCAACATCTTTCTGTGTAAATATCTTATGTTACAACGTGGACACCTGCGGCTTATAGACAGGTGCGGCCTATATATGTACAAAATGTTTTTTCTTCTTAAATTTAGTGGGCGCAGCTTATAGTCAGGTGTGCTCAATAGTCCGGATTTTACGGTAACAGAAAAATCTAACTATTTTGAGAATCAATAAATCACAAAATATTTTGGGGTTTTCAACTGTTGCTTGGACAAAACAAGGCATTTGGGCTTTTGGAGACAGGGATTGATACTTTGATGTTTTTATAGTCCAGATGATTAATCAAGATAATAGACATCCACTTATCCATAATATTTTCCAGTTACAGTCCTAGACTAAAGCATAAATCTCACCTTTGTGTTTCTTATCAGCTTTTCTAATGGCAAGTTTTCTAGTCCCTTGTCTCTGTGCCTCACTTTGGTGCACAAGCAGTAATGTGCTTATGTCTGCCCTCTGAGACTGGAGAGCAGAAAACACTGGGACTTGACTGTTGGTGAGAACCACAGCTGTAGTGGGTGTTTGATTCCCCATCAGCTACAAGGGGCAGCAACAAGCTTCTTGCACACCAAAACATTTTGACTAAGTGAGAAGACATTAGGATGAGTGTGTCTGGTTAGCCTCCTTAGCTGTGATAAAGAGCAGTGCAGCTGTTTCCCTGAGTTTTCCTGGGGGTATCATCTGGGACTGCCTTCCACTGTGTGGGAGACGTTCCCCAGCGGGCCTAGGTGTTTCTGGGTATGAGTGTGTTAGCAGTGGGTCATAGTGAATTGCCTTTTCTACAAAAAATTTAAATTTGAAATGCTTCACAGGGAACTCCTAACTGATTTTACTCAGTCTGTTAACAGGTCTTGAGGAATACTACATATTTTAAAATGTTGTTTGAAGCCTTTTGTGGCACAAAATCTGATAAATTTTCATCAAGTTAGTTGGGGCTGAGGGTGGCACAGCGGAGTGGTGGTTGACGCTGTCGCCTTACAGAAAGAAGGTTCCAGGTCCGAGCCCCGGCCGACCCGGGGCCTTTCTGTGTGGAGTCTGCATGTTCCTCCTGTGCCTGCACAGTCCAAAGACATGCAGCTAAGGTTGACTGGTGACTGCCTGTAGGAGTGAGAGTGTGTGTGTGGTTGTTTGTCTACATGTCAGCCCTGTGACAGACTGGTGACCTGTCCAGGGTGGACCCTGCCTCTCGCCCAGTCTTAACTGGGATTGGCTCCATCCCCCTGCGACCCTATTCAAGAATAAGATAATGGATGGAGTTGGGGCTGAGGATGACAAGGAAGAAGCAATCTGGGGTGTGGAGATAGATGTTAGCTTACCAGATGAGGCTAGAGGCTCCAAGGCTGTATTAGCCGGTACTAGCATAACACACCTGAACATCCAACTGAACTGTTAACGCTCAAGTAATTTTGTGACAAGGAAGAGAATGTGTGGAACAAAACGAGGCACTGATCTAAATCCTTTTTAAAGCTGTCCACTGAGTCTATGTGCAGTGCTAAATCAGTAGAGTCCTTTTAACAGTACAACCCCAAACAAGAGTCACATATTTTGTGAAACAGCAATGAAGTCTGTACATTCCAGAAAGACGGGATGGGTTAATAGGATGGGTGGAAATTTACCAGGACAATTACCTTGTGCTCCAAAGTGTGCTGAGTAATCCTCTGTCGTCATAGTAAAATTGGATGGCTGCATGTGATGTTAACTTCTGGCTGCTTCTTTTGTCACTCGCGACCTTTAAACCGGGCTACATCAGCCTTTGTAATCACCAGCTGAATGTGCATGAAGCATTTTCTTTGAACATTGTATTTATTGGTTGTAATGTTTTGTATGTTTATTTATGGAAACATTTGTGCTGTGGGTTCTTAAGACGTCAGTTGCAGTAAGAGAAGTGGCACTTGGTAAATGTTAGCAAAGGGTCAGCAAACAACTGGAAGTGCAAAAGAATCTCAGTTTGCTCTCATGTAAAGTTATTTTTGCTTTAATAGAAATGGTATTTCTATTGTATTAATGGATTGTTTTCATACAAGAGTGGGATGTTGAATCCATTTTGTAAATACAGTATATTGATAACCTTTTGTACTGTGTTTGCAGAATGTTTACACTGTGGTTACCATTAATTAAACTGCAGGCATGTGTGAGAGAGTTTATTCTGCTGAGTCACATTGGATTAGCTGTTACGGATGTTGGATGGACAGTAGCTGCTGCATAAATGACAACATTAATACGTTCTCTTATGAAACTGTATATTCAAACAATCTGAAACAATGTGCTTCTCTTAACACAGTTACATGCCCTGTGGAGTTGTCTTGTAAAAGACTATTTGCAAAGCTGATTTTTGTAAGTACAATGAATTTATTAGTATTTTAAACCCCTCAGTGTTTACTTTGATGTTTGCTGCTAGCAGCCTTCATTACCACTTTTCATGTGTCTGTTAAAGACAATGTTAAGCAACTAGTCGCATGAATGTGTTAGCTAGTTAGGCAACAAAATCCCCCACCACCTCTAAGCTCACTGCATAGCACAGTATATTTTGTTTGTTTAATCCATACAAAGTGTAAAAACTGTTGCCAACAAAAGCACCAGAATGTGGCGAAGAACTTGTCTGGAATATAACCCGTGTTGAAATGGCAGCTGAGATTTTTTTTTTTTAAACTCTGTTCTTGTACAGATTAAACAGTTGACGTATATTGTGTTACTTCCTAAGTATGCTAGGAGGTGGATTGCGTTACCATTTCACTGGCTGCTTTCCTCTTAACCAGTTGTAGACCTAAAATTAATGGACATGCCTGGTTGAGAACTGGTTCCAGATGATTCAGGCTTTCCTTCACCATCTCCATCACAATTTAAGTGTCTCTTATTCCGTGCTCACAGAAACTTAATTCTGAGTGGGGTGTACGCAGTCGGCTCTTTCACCCCTTCAGTTATTACTCTTTGATATGTTCTCAACAATTCCCTCCATATCCACTGCGGACTCATATGCCTCAGTGACCAGCTGCGTTTGCTGCAAAACCTCTGGTACAGAGAAGCTCTCAGCTGCCTCGACATGTCCCAGGTTCTGGTTGGACACCACATCTCCCAGTACCGTGTCACTCGACCCGATCACCACCCTCACAACGCAACCAGAGCTGAGGTCTGTTGAGGAGTTGGTGTCAGGCTTTGTGGAGTCCTGGGCAGCAGCAGTCTCTGGGACATAATCTGGGTCGTCACTGACCAGTGAGGCTTCCACTGTTTCTGTTGCTTTGCTCCCAAGAGAACTTCCGTCCAGCTCCTGTACTATCACGTTCCTCAGCTTCCTCTGCCGGGGGTTGTAGTTCTCAGTGCGTTTGTGGATTTGAATGTGTCGTCGCAGGTGTGCCTGGAAGAGAAATGGTAGAGATGTAAGGGCTGGGTCCAATAAGCTAAGGGGAACAAGGCAGATCTTTTTTTTTTCTTTTTAATTAATTAGTTGATCAATAGAAATTGGCCCAAATCATTTTGATAGTAACAGTTAAAGCAGACTTTAGTTTAAAATAAATAAATAAATAAAATGCTGAACATCAACCCTTGTATAAAAGTGGTGTGAACTTGCATCTGCTCTGACTGGGTTTCATGGCTGTAGGGATTTATTAAAATTGATAATATTGCAAAAAGACAAGGTTAGGTTTCCCGTCATTTCATTGACTAACAAACCAATCAATGTCTTAAAATGAATTGACATTAGTAGTGACCCCACCTGTCGAGTGAACTTGTAGCCGCAGTCCACACACTCAAACTTCCTCATGCCTTTATGGCGACGCAGGTGAACACGAAGTTGCTCTTTCGCTGGTGACAGCAGAGACCACAGAGAGATTCACAACAGTGAGTTCTTCGCTCTGTCTGGACATTCATTAGGGCCCACACACAAAACAAGATGTGTATGGAGGTGAGCTGGACACATATCATATGATCAGCATGGCATATCTTACCTTTGAAGGTCTTGCCACATATGTAACAACAGTGAGGACGGCCTTCCTCGTGCTTGCTGGCTTTGTGGCGGACGAGGGCGCCTTTCTCTGTGAAGCGCTGCTCACAGACATCACAGCTAAAGGGACGCTCACCAGTGTGTGTCCGGTGGTGCTTATCTAGACTGGCTGGGATTCAAAACAGTGATTGAAAAAGAAGACTCAGTTCATGCTCAACCACTGATCTCCGACAGCTCGGAGTGCATGGATTTACTTGGCTATTAATCTAATCCAGGGGTTTTTTAAGTCTGATGCTGTGCACCCTAAACCCCTCCCCCCCATTCTGGAATATTCTGACCATTTGTAATGTTAAAAATATACAGAGAGGAAGACATTTATGATGATACAGATTATCACTCCAACTATTATTCTTTGCCTAGTGTTTGTGGGATAATCATGCTCTAAACGCCTTCCCATGAGGGACATAAAGAGGCCATATAATGGTGCCAAGGATTCAGTGAGGAACAACTTCAGCCTACTGTGTATTTGTTTACATATTGGTCAGTCTGACCATTAAAAGTCAGACCAATTAGCACTTCCTGTTTGCAGTGTACTGATGGATGTACACGCAGCTTTGACTGATCACTTTGATACTGAAGAAAACTTTCTCAGGCAGGTTCTGGAGTAATGGAGTGTCTTGTTTCTACTCTAAGTAGGTTTATGAATGTTTATTTGTGATGGACATGAATATAATGGAATCCTTGGAAAGGGTAAGCCACACTGAATCAGATAATGTCTATCATGTATGTGTTCAGATTTGATTGAGTAAAACTGAGTCACAGTAATCAGGCTGAAGTGTTTTAATTGTGAGGCGTTTGTATGAAGCGCACAAAATGAGTAAACTACAATAACTGACTTGCTGTTTTCGGAACACCGACATGCACTCAAGTCTTTCAGCTCCTGTCTCTCACTCTGCATCCCACTGAGGTAACGGTCCTCAGAGAGAGTTTGAAACCCTGTGGTTTAATCTATTCAAGATGCTTACGAGTATGCCCATTACCTTGTGTCCTGAAGGTTTTGCCACAGAGATGACACTGGTATGGCTTCTCACCACTGTGAATACGTAGATGCATGTTGAGATTGTTCTTCTGGGAGAACGCGTGGCCACAGAAGTTACATACAAAAGGGCGCTCGTTTCTGTAAGGCAGAACGAAAAGAAAAACACTCAGATAATCTGTGCAAATATTATGTGATCTTATAAAAAGTGATCTCTGAATTTACAGGTATCTGTGTTAATTTAAAGGCACTATTCCCAGAGTAGTTACGTCCAGCTGTTTGGATGACATCAGTACTGAAAAGGCAACATATTGGCTACCTGTGAATGGCTCTGATGTGCATCTGCAGGCCATTTCGACTGGACGCTCGATGGCCACACTCTTCACACACAAATGGCTTCTCACCGCGATGTTTGGCCGCTTCATGCACACGCAGTTCTGTCCGAGTTAGGAAGGTTTTGGAGCACTGGGGACACTACAAATGAAAAAGAATTCAAAAGACTTTTGACAAAAGTGCAGGAACAACCGTGTGAAACAATGAAAGTACTATTTGCTGTCATCACAGTTATACTCTGAACAAAAAGAAAACTTACTGCATGCGGTTTAGGATAACCATGGACCTTCATCATGTGCATTGTCAGGTTTTTCTTGTACATAAACTGTTCAGGACATGTTGAACACTGAAAAAAATGGCACCATTTAAATGAAGATACTTTTAAAGACTCATTGTAGGTTTGTTAGAACTGACCGTCTGATTGTGGTTGGTACTGTAGGTACATGCTCTACCTTGTGGGGCATGTCTCCCGTGTGGGACACAGTGTGCAGACGTAGCTCATCTCTTCCATTAAATGTTGAGGAGCAGGTCAGGCAGCTGTACGTCTGTAATTACAGGACGACACAAACACTCATGTAATGCTTTTCTGTTGAAGGTAGATTTAATTAACAGCTACCTGATTTCAGCAGCTTACTCATGAGTACATCTGAAACTTAATTTCTTACTCACCTGTACTCTAGCACAATCTCTGATCTCATGTACCAAGAGACTCTCTTTCCTGAAGTACCTTTTCCCACATTTATGGCAACCAAAGGGTCTCTCTCCTGTGTGCCGCCTACGAAAAAGAACAATCAGTGCCTGTTCTTCCAGCAGTAATTTGAAGGAACAATGCTGAAACTGTATACCTGTTGTGGACTTTGAGGTAGTATTTGCTCTTGAAGGATTTGTTACAGATGGAACACTGCACAAAGTACTTCTTGGAGTCCTCTTCCACAACCTCACCGTTCTCTTTTTTGCCCATTTTACTGTGGGTCTTGCGTTTCCGTCCTGTTGATGCGGACGCAGCTGAGGACCTCGGCTTGGCAGTGGGCACATACTCATCACCTGAGCCTTCTGTGATCCCTTCGAAACCCCCAACATCATCATCATCCTCTTCTATTGTTGCAGTTAGCTGGCTAACACTACTGTCATTTATTTGAATCTGCAGTTCAGTTACCTGCAAATAGCACAAGTGTAATAATAAACCTCATGCTCATCTTTAAAATCATCAGCATCATTATTTACACTTGTAGCTACATACTGTATGGCAGCAAATGCTTAATCATTGTTATGCTTTTATATGTTGATGCTCATGTTTTCTACCTCAGTTTCACCAGTTGGCTGATCTGGGGTCTGATTTTCTACAGCAACATCACCACTTTCTTTCTCCACAGGAATATTCAGGACCCTCTCACTGGCCTTTTCAATGGCCATAAAATTACTGGTGGGGCTGTCACCAGTCACCAGTTGTCTGGGGCCTTTCACTACACGACCAGAACGGGTGGTGGTGGTTGTGGTAGTAGCAGCAGTGGCAGCCATTCTACAATCAGCTGTGGCACTGTCAAACCTAGACTCATCTTTTGCAGCTGTTATGAACTTCTCTTTAACTGAAGAGAGAGGGCTTGTATCTGATGCAGACTTTCTGGGTCTGCCTCTTTTACGCTTGAAAAGCACAGGATCCACAGAGGTTTCCTTGAACTGCTGACAGAGTACAAGTGCTTCTGGCACAGCCAGGCTGGCTGCTGCATGCTGCACCTTGTCCAGGTTGTCAAAGTCCAACTTTAGCTCTCCTGTGTAGATGAAGTTCAGGAGCAGCTCCAGGCCATCACTGGGGCACTCCTCAAGGCGGAACTCCATGCACGGTGTAGCAGGCACGTTGGACTCCTGGAACAGTTCACTGAAACAGGCAAGGACATTTCGATGGGCGAGGTAGACCACCCTATCTCCTACATTCAACACTGCATCACAAAACCTCCCTACTGCCCTCTGCTGGTTCAGGGAGGACAGGACACGCTGTGCATGGTTGCTTTCTGCTGCAGGTGTGCCTCCATCTTCACTGTATTCTGCGGCTGCATGAGACACAAACATCATATTGCTTGTATATGGAGTTAAAACATATTACATTACCCATGCAATATTTATTCTAGAAACATTTGCATTTCCATGCACTGTTACACTACTGTCACAGTTTTACCTGCATGTAGACTAGGGCTGCAACTAACCATTGGGTTCAACATCGCTTAATTCACTATTGATTTAATTGTCTAGAACTATATATAAAATGTCATAATAGTGAAAAATGCTTATTTCCCAGAGCTGAAGCGCAAATTAATCAGTTATATAACTGTTGACACCAAATCTGATCATGATTGCCCAATAGTATATAAAAACAGAGTTAAAAATTATAGATCAATTGTTAATATAAAAAAAAATCAATTGGCTACTTTCTATAAATAATTGTCAAAAATACTGCTTCATATAAAAATGCCAAAATTTTATGGTTCCACCTTACCATTTTCATTTTAATACATTTAATAACTTAAGTGTATTTCTAGTCATTTTGAGATTTGGACTGTTGGTCTGACAGAACAAGCAGTGTGAAGGTGTCACTTTGGGCCTTGGTTATAACTGTGACACGGACTGTAAAATGACCGGAACATAGCATACCGACAATATAAGATTTTAAATGGATGTTAAAGAGAGTTAGATACTTGCTCTTTGCACTATTAACCAAATTACGTTTAAGTTATAATGCTGTATAGATCAGGCAAGAAACAATATTCATGGCCACTGCAAAATTTTATTCAATTTTCAAAATCTTTTTTTTTTTAATGAGGAAAGCGACCTCGGAGTTTTTATTAAGAAGTTTTCAAGACCTGCGAATTTCACTTACTCAGGTTATCCCACTTAATTATATTTATGTTAATGATAGCTATGTCATTAATTGTGCTGCTTATTGATATTCAGTATATTTTCTACAGTTGACACAGCTTTATTAAAATTACTACAATCCCCTGGTTACCTTGCATCGACGTTTATTTCCTAGCATATATTTTAAGACGCTCCCTTAGCGCTACTCACCTGACAGCTGCATTTGGTGACTGTCGTAACGATGAAAACAGATTATTTACACTTGTCTTTGCAGAAGCAGCACCAATATCGGGTGTCATGCATATAGGGTGGAAAAATAGCAAACCCTGTTTTGGTTTTCGTTTCTTGTAGGCCCCTAAACACTACGAAAGGAAGCGGATGTGACGTTGTTAATACAGCCGAACTCCGGGAAAGATGCGTGTTGTCTATAATTAAAAACCAACATTTAACCAACCAAAACTGCTTCACACCGAATTATTATTTGTGGCGACACTGAGTTTTTATATAGGCTTTTCTTAAGGCGTATAGTAAAAATAGAAAAAGATATACATCTGTATGTAACATTGTTGTAAATAATAACACTCCGGGTAAAATCATAGTCGATCATCTAGACGCGTCGTTTGTTTGTGGCTCACACATGTAAGCTAGCCTGTTAGCACCGCTGTATTAACAGCTGGCTAGCTCCTTTGATTCCCTTCAGTGAATCATAAGCTCTGTCCGCTTAGGAAAAGCAGAAGGGTGTCGTATACAGCGTTGCATTGTTTTTCCTCATAAGCGGGGGGTAGGTTTTTTCACATTAACACAATCATAGCTATTCTAGGAGCTAACGCTGGTTTCTGTTAAGCTAGGTGATATTAGCCTGGATAACTTCACTCCCAAGTTAAAAAAAACCCACATTGAATTGTTCTCTAATAGCTGGTTCCTATTTAACCGTGAATCTGTGTATTTATTATTTCTAAATACCACACTGAGAAATTAAAAGGTGAAAATGTAGCTTATAGCCAAGTTAACCTAGCGTTAGCTCATTTTATGTTTTAGCATAGCTAGTTTCTCTCTCAACTCCTGTCGAACTGTCTGGTTGCCATATGAAGCCAAGTCAGTAGAAGGTAACTTAACCTGGTCTGATGTGGTCTAGACTTGGAAAAAGGCTATGAAACTGTTTTCACAAATATTAATAAAGATTTCATACATCTGTAATTGTGTTCTAGATCTGGTCTGAATGGAGAACAAAGAAGTGACATTGTCTTATTCATGATTTCACAAATAGAATAAATGTTTCACATATCTGTTTTAAAAAGTAACAAGTACAAGGTTGACAAGTGTAAATGTAGGGGTTTTAAGCTAACAACCGGTATATTGGTACTGACTAGATGGAGGAAAAACCAGTGACACTGGCTTTTTTGTATGCATACATGCTGCAACGGTTTCACAAACTTGAGAGTTTTAATTGTTGTTGGCTTTAACTATTCTTATGCATCTTAACAGCACAAATGGATTGGTCCCTCTGTTTGTTTGATTCTCCCAGTCCAAGTCTTCAGATGTCTCGTTTTGTCCAACAGTCAAAAACGCCAAAATATTCATTAAACGTTACACATTTTTAGCATTTGTGCTTGAAAAATGATTTAATTTATCATCAAAATAGCTGCTAGTTAACTTTCTTTTGATTTACTGGTGGATTAATCAACTATTTCCTGCAGATCTAATAATGTTATTGCAGAATAACAATACATTTTTATCATTCTCTGTTCAGGAAGGTAATGAAACTACAGCTGAACCATTTGTCAATTGATTAGTAGACTGACAGAATGTTTTGCTGATTGTTTAATCATCTGACTGATTTTTCATACGTAAAATATGTTTGGCTTTAATACTGTCATTAGAACAAAAGAAGACATGAAGACAACACCTTACACTGGAGAAAATGTCAGAGCAATCTTTTCCCTTTTTGTCTAATATTTTATAGAACATAAAATATAGAATAATTGGGAGAGTAGTTGTCAAATTAATCAATAATGAAAAAAAATTAATAGTTGGCTTACCAAAAGACATGCAATCAAACAAAAGCCTAAATGAAACCTGTCCTTTGGCCCTTGCTAATTTTCCTGCCTTTCTCTTTGCAGACGCACCTCTTTGTTTTTCAGCATCCACATAAAAATTGTTGATTATAGAGCCATGAAAGTGAACAAACCTACACAGATTAAGGGCCATGCTAAATCTCAGAAGTGGAAGGATGTGAGGGGGAGACGGGGGAGGCCTCCCGTCAGCTCTTCTGATCTCAGCTCTACTCCCGTCATAGCCAGGATGGTAGAGGAGCACCAGGCGTCTGTAAAGAAAAAGCCCACAGTAAAGAGACTGAAAAATAAGGCAAAACCTGTGTCTGATTCCAAGAAAAGCACTCCCCAATCTGGATTTAAGAAGTCGTATACGGAGGCTAATGGAAGTTCAGCATTTACAATGGACAATGAGTCTGATGACTTGCAGGACTGGAAGGAGTATTCCCAGTCCATTCATGGGAATGGTGTGAAGAAATCAGGAGACAAGGAGGATGCCTGGCCCACTAGACTGGAAGGAGAGGCTCTCCATTACTGTGCAGAGAGAGATGATCAGCGCAACAGTGCAGTACTTGTCATGCAGCAGGATCAGGTATGCATCAGGATATTTTGATAAAGAAGTGGCAACATATTTTTAATCCATTTTCTTCAATTTCTGTGACTGATCATTGCATTACTCACCTGCAGACCCTGTGTTTCTATGGGAAGTGTTTTTTGACCTGCCTGTATGGCCGGGTGGAGGTGATGGGCTTCACCATTGAAGAAGGCCAGCAGTCCTATCCTCTGTTTTCCCCAGCCTCACACTGTCCACTGACCATTAGAGCACTGGAAAGCCCTGATGACACCAGAGATGACAGAATGGAAGCCTCAGCCATCCTGCGAAAGCATCTGACTCCAGGTAAACACACATAAGAAAGGGTGTATCTATGGTATGATCTTTTTTTTTAATATATGTGAGGTTAGTCGTTATTGGGAGTTAGTATTAAGACGTGTATTAAGTACGGAGCGTACTGAGAGTATATTATTATATGCACTATATTTTTGTGGCATTAATGCTCTTTAATTGTGATTTTTGCAGCATCACGGAAGAAGTTGCTAAAAAGGATAATGTCAAGCTCATCTGTCATTTTACTGGAGCCCATGGAGACGCCTCTGACACGGTTTCTGTCAAGCTTCCCAAATCTCAGTGAATTGTTCAGCCCCCCAGTGGTAAGTTTACTGATAGCTTGATTTTGGGCTCTGTCAGTTCTCACAAAATCAGTGGCTCATCACAGGATACTCAGAGAGAAGCTTTTCCTCCTCGCCTGTTTGTAGAGTGAACTGTTGTCGGCTGTTTTTGACACTCCACTCAATGGCCTGGGGATGGTCCCGCTGGTCAGCACCGTCGAGGGCCTGAAAACATCACAGAGCTACAGAGATGCACTCAGCACAGCGGTCGGTGCCTGCAGAGGTGAGCCCTTTTCAGGCAGTCAGCCATGACATTCCTTATGTAAATGTAAACTTCACTTGTTGGTCTCATGTTTGAGTGAAGACCTGAGTCATCTGGAAATCCTACAGGGTTGTACCATTTTTCAGCACCTTCACACACACACACACACACACACAACACAAGTCTGAATCAAATTACTGTAAAGGCTGCAGGAGCACAAGGTTTAATACAGAGAGATATTGTCTTGTTCCTTATTATTAAGAGCACTGTGATACATTTATTGCTCACTTTGTCATCTGTTATGCATAAAGAAAATGAAACCAGTTTAATAGTCAGTTTAAGCACTTGTCTGTCTCATCAGCCTGGTAATATAGTGTTGTCCTTTTACAGTGCAAAGCAAACAAAAGTTTCATCAAAATGCTTTGGGAACACTTAAAAACTTTCATAAATGTGTACCCATGTACACGATCCTTCCTTAAATTAGTGTCCTAACTTAATGTCTTCTCATTTTACGCCGCTATGTTGCTGGATGTTATAACATAGACAGTAGAATTCAGTGCTTTAGACACCAACCATGGACCATAATGTCCCCAGTTTGAATCAGGCTGGACACCTTTGTAGAATCATACATTCCCACCCTCCACACCATTGTAACAAAGGGGGAAAAAAAGGATGAAATTCATGAAAAACCTTATTTAGAGATTCACAAGTGAGTGTCGCTATGGCAAAATGCATTTTTAAAATCCATCACCGTTGCAGCCTGTGGAAGAACAGAATTGTTTTCTTCTTTCTATTCATTAAATATCACTTTTATCAGCAGTGCCACTGCTCCCTCTCATGCACCAGGTGCCAGAAATATTGCACAAGCATTGGGTGTCTTTCCTTAAGGGCCCTGTCATGGTTGAACAAACCTGTAAGGAAAATATACAGTATATAACTGAATTACAAAAAGCTGAGACTTCAGTAACCTAATGAAACAAAAAAATGGCACAGTAGCAGCTGCAAATGAACATACAAAGCACTCCCAGCTGACCCTGCAGTGGCAAATCCTTCAACACATCTTTCAATTATAGGAGACATGGATGGTTGTGCAGTCATTCTGGTGTGTGGAGCCAAGAATGTGGGCAAGTCGACTTTTATCCGCATCCTCATCAACACCTTACTCAATCAGTAAGTAACATTATAAACATACCTTCATGTCTGTGTATCAAATACTACTGATGTTTTATAATATACATATGCTAAGATTTGTTTTCACTGTGTGTTTTTAACATGACCCTTGTAGACGTGCTTTGCACGGTTGATATGATCACTGTGTGTAATACTGTGTCATTGGTTTATACTCTGCTGACTTAACACTTTTATACAGATGGCTACAGACACACAGGATGGTGATACAGTCTAATGAGTGTCTGGTTGTGTGTCTGTAGCACTGCTTGTGTAGATTATTTGGAAGGTGACCTGGGTCAAACTGAATTCACCCCTCCTGGCTGCCTGTCTTTGTCGACTGTCAGAGAACCACTCCTAGGTATGTTTTCATCTGCTTCTTCCTTCACACCACTCCTTAAGGATCGGATCATTTAACGTTGGATCGTTCTCTTTACCCACAGCTGACAGTTTATTAGGTACGCCAAGCTAAAACAGGTGTGAGGTATTGATTCGACTCTATGAGCATTTTGGAAGCTGCTGTCAAATTGTATTGTTTACTGTGTACTTTTCACCGTTCAGGGTAGCGTCGCCAACATCACACATCACTGGTCTCCTGTTGGTTGCACTACAACATCTAATTTGGAAAAATGTGTCTAAGAGCGAAGCTGTTGAATATTTTTATAGTATCTCTTTTTGGTGTTGCACTTTGTAGACAGTCCCCTGCGCCGCCGTCTCACGGCCAAAATGGCTCCTTTTTGGGAAAATTAGGTTGTAGTTTGTTGTGTGTCAGCCTTACTGTGGTTGGAAAGAGGCATTTGTGTTTTAATGACATTTTGTTTATGATTTATTGATTTGGGAACTTTGTGAAAATTTTGTCCTAGGATTGGAACGACATTATCTTATTAAGTTTTGACATTTCTTTAAACAACAAAATAACCATTTAGAGTTAGAATATCTGCTCCATCTATCCAAGTGGGACATATTTGCTCTGTCATTTTCTGAGCTGTGAGTTGTCTCCATCCTGTTGTCTTTCCTCTTCATCATTGGACTCAGACCACATCAGCATCAGTTTCTGTAACACGGCCCCTGTTCTATTAGTGCAGGGATTAGTAGACTTACACTGAGCTGTTTTTCAGGTCCTCCTTTCACACATCAGCGCACACCAGAGCACATGATTTATTATGGTCAGACGTCATGCGAGTCGGACTTAGAGCGCTACCTGGAATCCCTGAAGTCCTTGTGGCGTAGACGCTCCAAAAGCAGAGAGACGCCCGTCATTATCAACACCATGGGCTGGGTCAAAGGTCAGCAGTGAAGTGAAGGATTACAAGAAGTATGTTAGTTGTAAACAGTGTCTGAACATGTGCGCCTGTTCACTGTCCACAGGATTTGGATTCCAACTGCTAGTGGACATGATCCGCTTCTTCCCGGTCTCACATGTCGTCCAGCTTTGTCATAGTGGTACGATGCAGTGTCCTGCCCTCAGTCCAGAGTTTCTGAGGACGGCACAGGGCTGCCTGACGTACCCACCTGCCCAGACGGCTCTGGATGAGCTTACAGAGAGCCACAGTCCCCCCAAAGGCTACACTCACCTCATTGTGCAGTCAGAGTTTCAAGGAGTGGGATGTCAGGGAACAGCGTGAGTGCACCACAGATCGGCTGTTGTTTGCATTAATATATGAGCGCTTTCAGTATTGAAAACCACTGGCTTTCTATTGTTGCTGCTGTATTTAACAGGAAACATCAGCGCACTAATGAACATAGAGAGCTGGCACTGCTGGCCAACTTGAGTCAGCTGCAGTCTCCTGATCCTGGACCAGTCAGACCTCTACACAGTCTGACCCCATACCAGGTACATGGGAAGGATCATACTGTGGCTGTATTCTTGATAGCAGTCTGTTTATTATCACCTTCAGAAAATAACTGCCAGAATTTAATTCAACTTGTCTGAATTATGGGGTCAGTATTCACAAAAACGAGTATAAAGAGGAGTGATACTTGGAAGGCCTTAACAGCAACACATTGTTCACATCAGACTGTATCTGCTGCATATTCTGCTGCACACTGTAAACTTTCACCAAGACAAAGTCCTTCTTGCTGAGTGTTAGATGAGCATTAAATATAAAGTTGTGTTGTTACATGGACCTAACCGTCATCCCCCCTCATAGGTGCCCCATACAGCCATGGCTGTAGGCGTGATCCACTGTGAGGTGGTCCCCACTCACATGCTTTATGCTGCCAATGCCAGCCTGGTGGGACTGTGCTGCCTGGGAGAGAAGGTAACAAGCAGGGGCGGTCCAGTCCTGCTCTCCCAGGCTCCCATCTGTCCATGTGTGGGCTTTGGTAAGTGTCCTGTCCGACCATCTGTGTGAAGCACACTAGCGATGATTAAGCAAGCACTCCTCCATCATGGACTCATAACTCAAAGAGAATTGCACAGAGGCAGCGTTACCCAGCTCGTTGGGGAAAAAGGAAGTAACACAAGTAACCAGATGTAAATGGTTAACTCAAGTTAGTTATTAAAATTATTGGAGTGTTTTACAAAACCAATAAAAGTAACAGAAACAGGCAATAAAAGAGAACAAAGGGCCCAGTAAGAAAAAGCAAAGGTACAAAACTACTGAGCGAACACAGAAACAAGTCCCTCACAACACAAATGACAAAGTACAACGTACATGGAGCAAGTAAAGCGGAGTCAAGTACTAATAGACAAGAAGACACTAAAAGCGACTACATAAAATGAGACACACTAACACAAAAGAACAGAAAAGAGACGAAGTGGCGAACTGCTCACAAGAGATCACAGCCGGTCTGAATGAGAGCCGAGCTGGTGAAATCAGGTGCAGCACGGGATCAGAGCATGGGATCGGAATACCAGTCTAGTCAGTCAAAGAGGGAGGCGGACTGAGAAGCGAGTGCAGCAACTGAAGAACAAATTCTAAATGGGAATCTGCACATACTAATTTGCATGCTAAGAAATTATTAGACAGAAGAAGAAGAAGACAGTGAAAAGGCCAGGGCCATAACAGACACAGATATTTAGATTCAGTGTGACTCTTTCTCCAATGTAACTCATTAAAACTGTACAACATGTATAATACAAGTCATTTCTATTGTGTCAGAATGATTAATGGGAAGGTGTTGCAGGTGTGCTCCGAGGTATTGACATGACACGAGGTCTGTACTTTCTGCTGACGCCCGTCGATCCCTCCGTCCTTCGTAAGGTCAACTGTCTCCTGCTGGGAGCCGTGACACTGCCTTCCTGCGTCCTCACAGCACAGGTCAGAGGACAGCTGAAGTCGCGTCAAGCTTTATATTTACAACCCAGTATCACAAATCACAAGTGGTTCTGTTCCTTCATGCATCTGCCCGGAGCTTTCTGTTTATGATCCATTTGCCTCTGTTTCAGCCTGGCTTTGAGGACGAGACGCCCTACGTCACCACCCACTACAGTTTTGATCTCACCGGTGCAGGAAAGTTGCGATTCTTCAAGGGACTGGTGAGATCCAGTCAAACGGGGGTGTAATGAGTTTTTCTACAAAGCATCTGTGTATTTCCCTTTACAGTTTTGACTGGTGTCTTAAGCCAAAGCTTTGGCCTTTGAATGTACAGAACTGAGGATGATTGGAGGCAGCTTTTATTTTGTGATTCAGTCCGGCTGCCAGGATTCCAGACTCTGCAGGAGACGATGGCACACCTTCTGTTTTCGAGAACCTCGGGTGTTCCCACTGGCTTACAACCTGCTACTGTGCATACATTTGATGGCGCAGTGGAGGAGTTTTGAGTTTCACATGGACGTCATGTCTCATTTGATGCTTCTTTGTGACATTCGTAAACCGAATACATGAACCTGCCAAATATTACTGAGAAACAACATAGTTTTGTGGCTGTCAGGAGTTTGTTAGACCTGTGTCACAGGTGGTTGTTACAGTTGATTTGTTTTACTGTCATCTAGTCTTACATCATGCAGATTTGCAGGCTATGGCCATAAGCAGTCCGTACCGGGGTGCAGTATAATTCCTGATTCAGACACTAGTTTGTTCATTATGACCGTTGTATTATGGGATAAAATCTCCACTGCCGTGACTGTTTATGCTCTTATTGCTCACATGCAACACTCAAGTAAAGAACAGGGCCAGGCAGTGGTACGAACATGGCGTTTTCTGTAGGCAATGGATTTACAAACTAAGAGCCGGTTTTGTCAGTATGTTGTTTTTATGCCAAAGGTTTTGCTGTTTTTGTTGCTGACTGTTGTACCTTAGTTAGTTACTTCGCTTAAAAGACATTCAAGAGGTTTTGTAAATGCAACATGTTTACAGTTTCTTCCGTAGGCACATGTGGAATTTAAACAATAAACAATGGAGGATTTTTTTCCTGATGCTGCTGTTTTCCTGTTGATGTTGCACTAAATGGTCATGATACAGTCCAGTAATACTGAATAACTCTTTGCTTTTATATTCATTATGAAACATGAAATAAATAACTTGTCACTGCTTGTAGACTGACCTTTACATGATCTGGTTAGAGGAAGTCAAGACCTTGGTTGTAATCATCTGCTCATGCACTGGAGAATTGCTTCGGTAAGGTAAGTGGGCTGTTTGAACACCCCCTCTCTATCTGCTGCACCCCACCTCTTGCAGGATGTGGTCATTTTTATTGTCCCTATATCATATTATGTTCATTTATAATCATTTTCTGTCACGTTATGACTGTTATGTTTCTCTTTGGGGTCATTTTGGGTCTCTTTACGATCACTCTACATCTCTGGTTTCTCAGTGGTCGTTTTGTGTCTGATATGGTCATTTTTCATGTCTTTGCTTTCATTTTGTATCTCTTTATGGTGGTTTGTGTATAAACAGGTCTTTGACGTTCAAACGAGAAATATTAGTCATTTCATACTGAGGCTCTGACTCAGGGCCCCCGGGGTTCTTGGGGCCCCTGGTTCCACCATCTATCCATGTGCGGACGCTCTTAGACGTGGTCCTGTGTGCTTTTGCGTCTCTGGCGCCTCTAGCTGCCACACTGCGCCTGTTGAGAGAGAAACCGCAGTGAGTCTTTGTGGACCCAGGTTGTGTGAATGAATGGAGCAGAGCCGATGGTTGGTCGGAGAAGGCGGCGAGACGAAGCAGCATATGATTTCAACTTTAAATGCATGTGGAAAGTTGGTAGAAGGGATCCGTCCACGGACTGGCTGCTCTAAGGGCCCGAAGAGGCTTCCCCCCCCCCATAATCCTATTCCTGCACCGATCTTTCTTCACCGACAAACGTTTTCGTTGGACGTCGAGGAGGTTTTTCTGTGGGCAGCCAGCAACAGGTTATTACCAGCTTAGCGCGGCGTCCAGCTCCCAGCTGAACCTCACTCATTATATGTGGTAACTTCTCGGCGTTTGAACCGAGGGATGCGTTTTTTCCGCTCTTTTCCGTGCGTTCACTGTGCAGCTTGTGCTCGCCACGGTCCGGATCCTACAGCCTGGGCGCACTGCGTTTTAGAAGAGGGCGACATCAGAAATGTGGAGAATATGAAAATGCCATAACGAATACGGCCAGTTAGACATTAGTGGGTGATTAGCGCCGACACAGACCTGCGAGGAGCTGCTGTTGGTCCAGGACATTTTTCAAGAAGGATTGCGTGTATAGATGGTCCCAAACAAGCGGATCATGAATTCAGTTCTGCACAAATCGCCACCAAGGAGCTGGCTTGGCCTCAGATTACGACTGAGTAAGTAAAAACTGGAGCTCAGCTCAATATCCTTTCCATTTTAGCTGCCATCCGTATCTTATTTATTTATTCATTTAATGGTGCATCAGCATCATATAATGAATCACCTGAATGGCTGTTCACACCTTGTGTATTTGTCTCAGTGCTCTTAGTTGCTCTTTAAGGAGTCAGACAGGAAGGGGAACACTGAGGCGCTTGCATGGCTTTGACCCTCAGGCACCAGATCTTTGTTTCATTCTTTCCTCCAGTCAACAAAGTTGATGACTGGATTTGGCTGAGCAATTATCCCAGCTGGAGGCAGGGGTATTTTAGTCAGAGGGGAGAATACACTGATCTAGAGTTCTCCTCTTGATGAATGGTTTGAGACAACTCAGTATACACTCAGATGATAGATATTGCCTCTTGTAAATCTCCAACCTACACTATTTATTGTACTTTTCCCTCAGACCTGCCATCGAGCTCGTCTGTTTCCCAGATCATAATTCAGATTAAAGTCAAAACTGCAGAGTCCAGAGCTTTTCTGTGACTGCAGCTTACTAATGGTGCTTACTGTGATTTCCAAGAGGCCAGGCTGATGTAGGCCTGTTGAAGCTGGAACCAGCGAATGTTTATTTTCATTTTTAAAAAATGACAAAGGGTTATCAATTATTATTTTTCCAAACTAAGATTCTGATCAATTAACCGACTAATGGTGTCAGGTCTGTACTTCACACAGAAGCAACCTCAGGTTTTTAAGCTCTCCTGTTGGCTTTACATGTAGGCCTGTGATGTGCAGTGCTGGCAGTTCATACTCTGAGGCAAGCATGGAGTTAAAGTCTAGCTGCTTTAATTGGTTGAGTCTGGAAACCTTCAATGTTCCAGGCCACTGGAGTCTTAAGCTTGTCTTAAACACACTGGTCTAATCTGGGACCAGATGTCTTGTCTGGTCTGTCCACCACTGAAAAACAAAAACACAGACTAGAAACAGCCGCTCTTTACTAACTGGTTCACTGGTGGTAAAGTCGAAGTCTGTAGACAGGACACAGTGGCACATGGTGCATTAGGTCAGCGGATTCAGGAGTGTGTTGTTTGTTAGTTTATAGTCCAGCACTTTATCCTGGTAATTTGAGGCACCTTTGTGTTTATATTGGAATATTATTGGTATCTTTTATTGACCAGATGTTAGTGTGACTGCAGATATTCTGCAGATTAACGACACTGTCAAATTAGAGACACGATTTTGGCCTAAATGATTCCTCAATGAATCATTGTAAGTGTAAATCTCACCCCGAGGTCCATTTAGTAGCTGCTGGAAGCTGATGGAATTGCAGCTGCTTAGATTTCCAGGCTGAGGTTCAAAGCTATGGACCACAATGTCTATTCATGGCATCTTCCTCGGCAGATGGAATTCTGATCTTTCAAAAGGAGCCAAGAAAGAAAGAAGTCCCACTGCCAGGCCTATTTAGTAATGTAGCTGTTCTGGAGCACATGATCTTCATGAGCTGATGGGTTTTGCATGGAGCTGTAGGTGGTCAGATTTCCATTTGCCTTAGCATTAAGGACTCGTGATTCAGCTGAGGTTCACACTTGGTTCCTGGCAATGGAAACAGCACATGGTTCATTTACTAGCTGTTGGAGTCTGATCAAATCACACGATCTTCGTCAGCAGATAGACTACATGGAGTTGTCGATGCTTTGTCCACTAAACATTTACAGTTCTTCAGCAGCTAAGCAGACTTGGGCGGCTGTGGCTCAGGAGGTAGAGTGGGTCATGTCCTAACTGGAAGATTAGCTGTTCGATTCCAGTCCACATGTCAAAGTGTCCTAAAGCAAGATGATGACACTGGTGTGTGAATATGTGAGTGTTTGGGAGTGCGAATGGGTGAATGGCCAAAAAGTGTGAAAGCGCTTTGAGTGTGCTGCAATGCATAGACAACTATAAGACCATTTAAAGATCATGTGACATGGTCAAAAGGTCCAGCTACTGAACAAACCTTAAGTTGTGGTGGTTTTCTTTAGCAGAATTATGGGGGTTTGAGCAGGGCCAGGCTGCAGCGTGCGGCAGCACACTGATCTGACTTGACTTGTATACTCTGGGTGCATATGCAAAATAATAATAATAATAATAATAATCACCTTTATTGGCCAAGGAATTTGTTTCCGGTACAGAACCGAGGCAGCCATCTGTGGCGTCAACTCAACCGATGGTTCTAACCATCGGGGGCAACTAACTGGAGTTCAGTGTCTTGCCCAAGGACACTTTGTTGTGTGGACTGCAGGCACCGAGATTCGATCCTCCGACCCTCTGGTTGTGAGACGACCGCTCTACCCACTGCGCCAAAGCCACAGGCGCCCCCACAACATGTCATGTTATATGTGTTAGTGAATTTGGCATGGCTCGTGGCTTGGTACAGTTCAAACTTCCTTCTTCAGGCTGTCTTTCTATTGTTCCACTGTCTTTTCTGCCAGTAATTTCCTTTCAGTTTTCCCTCTTTGCATTTCTGCCTTTTCCTGATGGGCCCCTGGGTCACAGTTTGATCTCATATTTGTTTTTCTCTGCAACTGCTCAAGACTAAAGATCCTAGCTTTATAATGTTGCAGCTCATCTTGACAATCTTTATTTGCTTTATGAAGGCCCTGTACTGTGTTTGCATTTCATGGCTCTGGTGGTCATTTCAATTGTAATTTTTTCTTCAAAAACTGCTTAGAGACCACAAGTTAGCCTTTTCTTCAGTAGATAAACTTGACAGTCTTGCAGTGTCTTTAGTAAATGTGTTTGTATCCACCAGATTTCCCAAAATGTTGAACTATTCCTTTAGTGCAGCTCAGGCTCACTAAACAGGTGAGTGTGACAGGTGGTGAGGCTGTCTGTACTTCGTTACAGTGTCAGTTTTGCTGGTTCCAGTCACAGATGAAGTCATTTTCATAAATGAGAGTTTCTCCAGTATTTTGAGGAACACTGCGTCACACTGGGAATTTTGGGTTCAAATTTCAGATGGTGGTCGGCTTTTTTGCCCTGGGGGGTAGGATCTCTGTGCCTGTCCTACTCTGTTGTTTTGCATTTTCTGATTGCTTTGCATTTATACATGGAAATTTTGCATTTAAATTTTCATGTTATGGTTTTAGAATCTTTGAATCACATCAATCAGACACATTTAGACAACTAATATGATCAAAAACCTTTCAGGGCCTCATCAGGATGTAAATAAACCAACAGTGAACAGCTTCTCTTCCAACTGTTCAGCCAGTAATTAAAGGGCCCTTCTTGGGGTCACTTACACAAATACATACACCTTCTTTAACTCCAGAAACATAACAGCAAATGAACAGGTCCTTCCACACGTATAACCTCCACCCCAGCTAAATGAGTGTTTATGCATATTGCAGCTTTCCACATGACAATAACTGTACTTTTATGCAATAAGTGTTTATGATTCCCGTTGGCCCTGTTATTGGCTTCTCAGTGTCCTCCCCCACCGCAATTTTAACCAGATTGTTTCAATTATGGGATTATTCATATCAACAAGTTGAAGAGTGGTTGTTGTGCCCCTCTAAATCGCTGGTTTAAGGATGGACTGTTAAATTATGACGTCTCCTAGTAATAAACTCAGTGGGGATGGTCCTGCACACACTTCGCTTCTGGCAAGGTTGTTGATATATCAGTGCATAGGGTGTCACTAATTAAACATTTCAAATGCCTCCTGTAGCACCGCCATGACAATGGCATTTGTGGTTTTAAGTAAAATTCTCATAAGTGGACTTTTGGTGATCTCTGAACTTTTGTCTTGTGAATTTTTAAAAATTTTTCCAATACTTATATTTAGGACCAGAAACCTGCAAAACATTCCCAATAATTTCAGCATTACTTTGCATTTAATGCTAATTAGCCAGTGGGCAGCACAGTAGCGCGGTGGTTAGCGCCGTTGCCTCACAGCGAGAAGGTCCCGGGTTCGTGACCTTTCTGTGCGGAGTTTGCATTTCTCCCTGTGTTTGTGTGGGTTCTCTCCGGCTACTCTGGCTTCCTCCCACTGTCCAAAGACATGCGGCTGATTGGTGACTCTAACTTGCCCGTAGGTGTGAGTGTGCGTGGTTGTTCGTCTATGTGTTGGCCCTGCGATGGACCGGCGACCTGTCCAGGGTGTACCCCGCCTTTCGGGGCTAAGTGGTATAGAAAATGAGAGATGAGAGCTAATTAGCCAGTGCGAGCATGCCAACACCACGTTATTGATATGGTGAACACCTGACATTGTCTGGTAAGATAAGTATTAAACATACTTGGGCAGGTGTAAATGATCATGTTCATTATGGATTTTTTAATTCAATAATGTTTTTAATTCAATAAGGTCTGTAAAATGGCAAATGTTTTGTTTGGGAAAAAAACTCACAAATGCTAAATGTTCACATTAGCATTTAGCTCAAAGCAATGTTGTGCCAAAGTACAACCTTATGGTTAACATTATTGCAGAAAAGCAGCTTTTGCTTATGCATCATCATTATTGTGCATGTGTTTTGCTACACCGACTGCATAGAACTATGTGGTGCACAGAAAGTTCACATTTGTTGAACTTTGACCCCAACTTTGCAGACGGTGGCCTCGAGAGTTTGAGATACTGTGCTGACCAACATGTTTTATTGCTGTTATGTGTTCATATTCTGAGACAAGCCACCAACCACTACAACACTTACTGCTGAAAGCTGAAACCTTTGTGGTTAGCATCAGAAAAACTACAGTTCCAGTGATCGCTTTTCAACACAGCGGCATGCATATTACATGCCATCATAATGGATTAGACTCTTCTGGGCGTTGGCCGCCCAGGTAGCACTGTGTGTTTGATATAAGTATCACATCTCTCAACCTTTTACGTTGTAAAAAACATAAGAAGATGTGTAATAGTTACAGCCATCCCTGGGCTCAGGACCTGCAGTTTTCCCACCAGTTGACCGGCATCAGTTGATCAAGATGAGAATTTATTGAACGCCATTTCCCAGAAATGGCGTTCAATAAAGGCCAGTAAAAACAA